TGCCAATAAAGCATGGATGGGAGATACAAATTTTTGAAATTTCGACTTTAATGACCGATTTTTCGGCAATTTTGTATGGGAGGTATCTGTAAATCGATTCCGATTGGTTTCAAACTTTCAGAGGTTTCATTCTTTAGAGAAAAAATAAGATTCTGAAAGTTTCATGTTGATCGCATTTGCGGAAGTTTGGTTGTTGACCTACAATTTTTGTTGAAATTTTCTTGTAAAAAATTGAGGGTCAAAAACCAAATTTGTGCATATGCGATCAGCATGAAACTTTTAGAATCTCATTTTTTTTCGTAAAAAATGAAACCTCAGAAAGTTTTGAGCTAATCGGAGTCGATAAACGAGTACCTTCCATACAAAATTGTCGAAGTTTTAACTGAAGTGACAAATTTTTCACTGGAAAACTGCCTTTATTCAAGAAAATTTTCAAAAAATAACCAAAAGTGCGGACAAAAATAAAAGTGGTACGGAAAAGTTCGGGATTACGAATGTAATTCTTTTTATTTTTTTCGTTTCACTTTTATTTTTGCCAAAAACGAACGAAAATGAACAAAAATTGAGCACAACGAAAACTGAACGCGACGAAAAATCAAAACCAGCGAGACTATTTTTCACATTTTTCCATTTTTTTCCTTTGCATTTTCTTTTTTGAAACAAATTCAAGCCGTGTTCGAGTTCAGTTTTTCCAATTTTTTCGTCCATTTCGATTCATTTTTCTCAATTTTTCTCTGATTTTTGGACGGATTTTTCAATCAAGTAGATTTTTTCACTTGTTTTGAGCGAACCGAATTTTCATGCTCATTCGATGAAAAAACCCGTTCAAAAATCAGAGAAAAATTGAGAAAAATGCACCGAAATGGACGAAAAAAAATGGAAAAACCGAACTCGAACATGACTATGAATAAAACCGGCGATTAAATTGTTGCACTTGCATTTTTTGTTCGTTTAATTGGCTTTTTTGGATTTTCGATGTTTTTTGTCAATTTCCAAGCGATTGTATTTTTCACTAAGCACAAAATTCGGGTTCTAATTCGATGATGAAAAACGGAAAAAAATGAGTGAAAATGAGCAAAATCTGAACTCATCCGCGACAAAAACTTAAAAACCGCAATAAAACTTTGTTTTCGTTTCACATTGCCTTTTTTCGATTCAATTGATTTTTTTTCACTAGTTAAAACGTCTATCGAATTTTTTGTTGATAAGATAAGAAGAAACTGTCCAAAAAGCAGAAAAAAATTGAAAATCTAAACACAAACACTATAAAACATGAAAATCGGCGAGAAAATGGTAATTTTTTAAATTTTTTTTCCATTTCACTTGAGTTTTTTTCTAGTTTTAATTGATTTTTTGATTATAACGCGGATCGAATTCTGTGTTCATCGAATATAACAAATCTGCACAAGAAAATGTTCGAAGAGCAAAGAAAAAAATGGTGAAAAATGAACTAAATGGTTGAAACGAGAAACACGTCTTCACTGAACGATACGACAGGACTGAATGAATCTCATACGTAGAACGTATCTCAGGATTGGCTTGCATACGTAGCGAAGCGGGCGTATTCAACTTCCAGTGGAAGTACCAGCCAATGAAAAGCGTGCGTCTCGCGGCTTCAATGTATTGGTGAAGGGGAAATGACGCAGCACGATCCGGCTGGATCGTGATCGCGCTGCGTCTGGAAAGCCAAACATCTCTTCTGCGGCGTTTCGATGTTATTGCCTAGCTTCGTGAGTTTTTTTTTGAATTGAAAAAATTACATGCAATGAACGGCTAGAACGAAATAATATTTTTGCACTTTCTACGTTCGAATTTTGATGAAAAATATGGTATTTCTTCAAAATGCGTTCAAAAGAGGATGATTTTCAATGAAAAACATGATTTTTTTTGTAAAGACAGGGAATTTTGTGGGTGAAAAATGAATATTTTCGATGGATCTTTTTGTGAAAGAAGGAGAAAAGAGACACATTTCATTGCCGTTCAATGGAACTCACGCTTTGTTTTTGTGTATTTGAATTTATGCATTGCAGCGATAGTGCTCTCGTTCAGAGTCAAACGGAAGATTTCTTTTTAGTGTCAACCAAAAACGTTATGACACGCAAAACAATGTAATTTGTTCACATTTTTTCCTGGAGCCTAATTTGTTGTTCGTTAAAAAAATGTGTTAATCTAGAAAATTCACTGCATAAAAATTCTTGTGTGCATATCGACCGAACCAAAATGTGCCTTAGCTACATAAATGAAATTTCATACGCACGCTCGCTCGCTCCGTCGTCAAAAAAAAAAACAAATTGGGTTCTCATTCTAGTTACACTCGGCAAATGTGTCGCCGTTTGGTCGTCGCCGTACAAAAAAAACATAAAAACCCATAAATAATAATTAGAAATTGGGCCATTAAATCTGGAATTCGGCGACGAGTTATATTTTATCATCTTGTTTGATTGCGCTCTCTGAACTGCGTTCGATGAATTCGATACGATGTTATTTTTTTGTTGTTTATGCAAAGCCATCAGTCCCATGTTCCGAGCGAATGAGAAAATGTGAGTGAAAAAAAAGTATACGATTTGTAGCTGCGCAATTTGATTTATCTAAATAAAGCGTGTCGTCAATCAATGTGATAATTGCAGCCATTTCCTCGGAATTGGACGAGAACGAGAGCATATTCGATGGGAATGATAAGCAGAAAAATAAATAAATGCTTCGGTTTATTTTTGAATAATGGGATTTCGTTTTCATGGAAAATTCTTCTTGATTGAAAAAAATGAATTTCTACGAAAGAAATTGATTACGGTGCATGGCAATGAAATTACTTGCGTTTGATTTTGCTTGTGATACGCTGTGACAATCGATCAGTAGGCACTGCGATAGATATACAGTACTGTAAAAACACAACACATATTCAGTACTTTGTTTGTCATACACAAAACATATGAATGAATCACACATACACACACATGCGCATTGTTTCAATTAGTTTTGCATCAATTACTCATACATTTTTCAAACGTTTGTTTTGATTCATCGCCCACACTTCATTTCAGAGACTGTATCGAGTGATTTGAATGTCGAGTTCTTTGTGCAATTGAAACTGACCGTCGACAATTCAAAATCGGCGAGACAATTTGCTCCAAAGGAGAAAAAAGAAGGAAAGAAAAGGAGCCGTTCAATTGAAACAGGCAATTAATTATCAAACCGATTTTTATGGGTTTTTGGTCAATGTGAGGCGATCAACGAAATTGCCGCACTTCGATGAAAATAAAACTGTCATTTTTGGCGTCTTTCAAGGAGATGAGCGTGACATTTGCATGATGGTTTCTCTTATTGAAAATTGCCCATTTATGACTCATTATTTGCTGACAATACAGTTATCGTGGAGCAAATTTCGCCGCAATTTAAACTGAGTATGGGGCCGAAAAAAATGATCGAATTATTCCTGGAATGTACGCTTCGAATGTTTTTTTTAAGTCGATGCGAATTGACGGAAATTCTTTGAAATGATGCAATGATTGAATGAGTTGACGAATTTTGAATGAAAGCGGGAGCAAAAAAAAAGGAAAAAGAAGAATAAAGAAAGTAAATGTTCGCTTTGAGAATGAAAAAGAACGACGAAAAACAAAAATGTGAACAAAAATAGAACAACAACACAAAATTCTATTTAGTAGCTCAATGGAAAAATAGTTTTTTGGCATTTAAAAAAGTCGTCAGAACAACGAACTTTTTTCATTCCTTATTTATGGATGGAAATTATTATGAAACTTCTTTTTACTCAATGAGCACTGCTCATATAAACGATTTACGCCATGCACTTGGCATTCGCGTCATTCCGCGCTATGATACACAAAACACACAGAATACAGTCCAGCGGAACATCGCGAATGTCTTCAAACGCAACAAACAGTATTCACGTGTATCGTAGTAGCCTGTGGATTATTTTCTGTGTATATGCTTTGTGTGTGATAGTGCAGAATAGCACGAATACAAAGTGCATATCGTCAATCGTTTATATGGGTGAAAAGACCGATTTGGAATGGAAACGAAATTCTCTTCGAGAAAAAAACGTACAAAGAGAACAAAAAACTGGATGCGAAAACAATGCACACTAAATTTGAATAAGTAACTCAAAGGGTAAATAAGTTTTTTTAACTTTTGACAAAAGTCTTCAGACCAACGAACTTTTTTTCCATTATTTTTTAAGGAAATTGTTATGAAAAGTCTTTGTAAAAACAGACTACACTGAGAAAAAGTTTGTGTTATACATTTTGGACAGAAAAATGTTCAGCTAAAAAAGTTTAAGAAAAAATGTGCATGATGCCCAAAATTTCTCAATACAGCGAAAAGACAATGAAATCCACATTTTTGTTCTGTTTCGTTAGTTCGAATTGCAATTTTGCAAACTGTTTTAAATTTGATAAGTGCGTTTCGCTTGATAACGGCAAGGTCAGCTAAAAAAGAGTCGCTTCTGTCGAAGAATCCATCAAAATGCCATTGGATAACAATCTAATGGCTTTGTGCACGCAACAAAAATGCAAAGTTTTAAATGTCATGTCATTTTTCGTGTTTTTTGCGTATAAATCTTAACGTTTTTTTTTTTGCAGCAAAACACATGAATGGCTCAAATTGAGTTAACCAATAACAAAAATGAGTTAGCCAGTCACACTGGCCCAGTATAGTTTCAATTATAGCCTTAGCCGTGGAGTGCATATGTAAATTGGTGCTATACAATAAATGAATTGGCATGCGCTAAGTAAACGATACGAAGATGACTGGGAAAAATATGCTTCAATTAGCAAAAACACTGTCATACCAAATGGACCTAATAAATTTTGATGAAGCTGCCGCACAAAAACGTGCGTACACATATGAATAAACACAAAATAGCGGCATATTTGCTTGTGTATTGCATGTCAGTGTCTCCAGCGTGGCGAAGACACAAAACAGAGATGCGAACAAAAAGGCATGTGAAGACGTTAACAAGTTTTAATTTAGCGGCCACTCCGTGTTTGTTAGCCGACGAATACGATCGCACTTTTAGTCCTTAAGATTGAAATCTCGTGAAATTCAAGTTGGGTATCAGTCGGTTTTTTATTTCGGTGTTTCCCCACATCACACATCTTCCGTTATATGATAACAGTGAACGGAACGATTTTAACCAGTTCTAGAGCGACTGTTCAGCGGTAAACACCTGTGTGTCTGTGCGATGTGATCAAGTGATTACGGGTGCAAACGAAGCATTATCGCTGATTTAATGATCAACGAATTCGCATGATTGAACGATCTCCGGAATATAAATGACATTTCGAGACTAAGTTACGAAGTTGAAATCGAATTAAAAGACATTACCGATATCATTCGCTTATCAGAAACGAATTTTAAAGTTTACGTAAACGAGAAGGAGACAACAATGAAAAAATTCAACAATTTCGGCGTTTTTAGCACGATATTCATCTTGATTTTGTCAAGCGGTGAGTTGAATTGCCCCCTGTGTTATGTTTTTCAGTGAAGAAATATTTCTGCGGCAATTTCAAGGCTAAAAATTGGTTGATCAATGTTTGAATCGACACCGGATGTGATTGGTTTAGTGAATTATTGAAGTTTTTCACTTTTCTTCATGTAAAAACACCGTTCTTTTCGTTCTCACCGCTATTTTCTTTCTGTGTTTGCTCTTGTGTGAAGTGGTCTTTGATTCGAAGGGTTTGTGAAACCAATTGTGTGCGGAAAATGAAGAAAAATGAGGCCCAAATTCAAAGTGTCTAAAAATGAAGCAAAATATGCTAAATCTCTCAAGTTTTGCCATGATTTACTTCGACCACTGCTCCATTGATGTTTCTCGATTTGAATTTATTCGCGGACGTCAACAAAAAAAGGTACACCAAACGATTCGAACGAAGTGTTCATGCCAAGCAATTTAAAGCAGTCAATCATTTTAATTGACTCATAAAAACTGGAAATGTTCAAGAAGCATTTATCAAACGGGACCGGCAACGAATGTTGACTCAACATGCAAATTGAGTGAAGTGATCAGTTTCAGAAAAACAGACAGAGAGTAAGAGAGGAAATTCCGTTTTTTTTAGCGGGGAATTCACTTTGAGTATTTGGAAAAAACTTCCCGTTTATAAAATCAAAAATGCAAATTTGTGGTAAAAAAACAAACCTAGAATTTGTCTAAGGTTGCAAACTGTATTCGTTGTTGATTCTACCCGTTGTCGATTCTACCAAAAATGTTTGTGCCAGATAAAAACATTTGAGAATATTTTCCAGGTGTATGATCAATTCAAATAAACTGCATGGATTTTTGTGATTTTTTGTTGTTATAAAACCCTATTTGATCGGAAAAAGCCCAAATATTGACCGTTTACATTCTATTTCTCTTCCTTTGTGAAATCCCTGAAACATTTGAAATATTCTTGGAAATGAATGATTGGGTTAAATAGTGTTGCGCATAATGAAGACACATTTAAATTGGGTTTACGGTCCAAACTGAGACATAGCAGTGACTGTCATTTCTATGCATAGACAAATTTATGTTGTGCTATGCTGTGATTAGATCGAAATCAATTTATCATCGGCTCGATCGTCTTAACCGTATCGAATTTTATGTCATCTTAATGTTTATGGTATGTGATTCCAATGGTCTCACCTCTCAACAGGTGGTCAAATTGAAGTGTAAATCTTATCGCTTCTTCATCGTGCCTCAAAAGACATCGATTGATGAAGAGCGAAAGTCTTCATTTTGATACTAAATGGTCATTATTTAGTAAACAGATTTAAAATCTATTCACTCTATCAAAGTATTCCAACTATTTCCATCAATTTGTTAGTTTCCGCCTACCAAAAAATATGTTTTATTGCATATTTATTGGCATTCTTCATGTACACAGTCAATGCACTGGTCGAAAGTGAACAAAGTCTATTTGAATGAAAGCAAAGTCTTCATGAATAGAAAGAAATGATCGAACTCTTTGAGACAAAGAGTTGTAGCAGAGAAGGAGTTGTAGCAAACAAACAACATGTACATGAGTACGCGCTATTTATGAGTTCATATAAAAACTATTACTTTGTTGTTCGGTCCTAAAAATTTCATTAATTTGAACCCATCAGCTGGACGCATATCTTTTTTTATGGCTGCAATGAGTCATTGCGTGTGTTGTGTCAGTGGGAAAAATCAATTAATTGCCGTGCCGATTTCAATTTAGTTCGGCCAAACCATCCATTTAACGGACCCACAGAAATTCCCCCACATTTTTTTCACTTCAAATTAAAACACATTTCTTTCTCTTTCGTTTTTTACTTCCTTTTTTTTCTCATGCGATAAAATCAACAATATGTCTACATCCAAATTTTTAATTGAAGTGAAAAAAAATTGTTCAAATTCGATTCATAGATTTTAATTGAGAAAAAAAAGCGTTTGAATTGAATTTTAAAAGAGATCTAAAACAAAGCCGCGCACAAGTATTGACGCAATTTCTAATTTATGTGAACAACAATGTCAATATTACATGCGAAATAGTGGATTTTTCGCCGTTTGTCAACGATTTTTATCACTTGAATGACTTGAGCGTCACTTAACACGGCAATCACCGTAATTTGCAACTCGTTAAAACAAGCCGGTTAATTAGTTGTTTTCTATTTTCTAATTCGAAATGAGCATATGTGCGAAAACACCGGTTCAGCGCGTTAAGCGAAAAACACCGCGACGGCATTTCAAATGTCTATGGGCCGAACAAATAGTTTACGGTTGCTATACTAGCTATTATTCATTTGCCATTCAAGCAATTCGCCCATAAATGAATTAAACAGCGGCGCTATTGCAACGCATATCAGCGGCATTTTAATTAAAAGTTTCAGTATAAATGCGACTGGACATTTAAACAGAAGGCTTAGAAGTGTGCCACTCGTTGAGCTAAGTGCATCGAATGCATTAGCGAGGATTAGAGGCTAAAGTTTTGTTTCGGATTTCGATTTCAATCGAGGTTTTATGCGAATTGAAGCGATATTTTATAGCGATTTGGATTTATTTAGGCACATTGAATGAAAATGATATCTTAGCAAAAATGAATAGATGAAAAAATTATTCATTTGATCTTATCATACGTATTCATTTGATTTTGCCACTCATTTACGTTTACTGATACTTATGGGTTACTGGTTACACTCAATTCAGATCGGACCATTCTATTAGATGAATGGCTCCATAATATCGCTTTATTGAGCATTGTTCCATATTGTTAAGCGCTTTCTATAGAAGCATTTAAAGCCATGAATCATATTTTTAGACGATAGCTTTTATACTGGATTAGTCATGACTACATGTTTAGCTGCATATCAATGCCTGTGACACAGGCCCTGTGCTAACTCAAAACCATTGTAACTGTGTCCAACTCCAAACAATTGCCGTTTTAATTGAATGGCAGTCGATTATCGAATCAATGGCTAGTTTCTTGACTCGTGTCAGTATGTTCAAATCTGATAAGAGAACTGTGGAATTCCGATTTAAATGAACCTGACTAACGGGTTGAGTATTGAAAAGCATCGCGACTGACAAAAATCAACTGGTTCATCAAATGATCATCGATTAGTATGCAAATTTTTGACCAATTTTTTTGTTTCAACAAAAGTGATATTCGTTTTAATGAGAACGTCAGTTGAATGGAAGAAAATGGAGGGAAAAAAACGGCTGAATGGGAATTTCAAAACAAAATGATTGGGAACAAAACAAATGCTGACACATTTGTAAGCAAATCACATGGACGAAAATGTTCTTTGATCTGAATGCCAAATCAATAATGGCTCTTGAATTTCGAACGTGCACAATTCTGACGATTCACCAGAAGCAATTTGTACACCTCTGAAACAATTTCAACATTGCCATCGCATTCAATTCTTAATATCTTGCTCAAACAACCATGAAAACTCATTTAAATCAACACATTATTTGTCTTTCGTTTCAGAGCAAATTTTCGGCACAATTTATTACGAAATCAATGACAAGTATGATATTAACATTTTAATAGGTATCATGTGAATATGGACTGATTTTCTCGCTCTCCTTCTCTCTTTCTCTCCCTCGCTCATTATTTAGTTATCCAATTGCCGTTGAATCCGTTCATGCTTCGAATTATCGAACAGGGGGCAAAAGAAGCGCACAAAATTACGATGATGCCGAACATACAGGATTGAAACTAGTGCAACCGCCGAAAGATGAACATGACACTGAGGTATGGAATTCTTTTTTGCGCATCACTTGTTTTCTGTTTAGACTTTGTTTTTGTTCGGTCATCAGTGAGATTTGGACCGACTCATGAACACACTGTGTCTGTTGTCATTTTTGGCTAAATTAAAACTATTTTTAGATTATTTTAAATTGAATCGGCCAAAATTCACGTGTCAATTTTTTATCGGGACAACATTGTTCTCATAACAAAATTGGTTCCATCAAAACCTATTTAGATTGCATCATCACAGTCAATCAACAATTGCCAGCGAATTCAATTTGGTTTTAGTTTAATTTGTACCAATTTCGATCGGTGGACTGAATTAAAGTCGCTTCAATCAAGGTCACTACAGATTACCCTTTACATCGCTCTTTCATAGCACCATTTGATTATTTATTTGTCTTTCTTATTAAAAATTTGATTAAATCTGATTATAATTTGTATAAATTTAATTCACATTTGAAGGACGGTAAATAGACAACTTGAGAAATAGAACTACACTCGATTCCATTCCATTTCATTGACAACTTTTGGCAACGAATGCTCATCAAAAAAATGTTTCAAATTAGATTAAATCAAATTTAATAAGAAAATCAAATAAATAATCAAATGGTGCTATGAAAATGTAAAGGGTGATCCGTGGCGACCTTGGTTCAAGCGACTTTAATTCAGTCGATCAAAATTGGTACAAATTCAACAAAAATCTAATTGAATTCACAGGCAATACGAATAGTTGTCGACAATTTATTGATTGACTGAGTTAAAGCTGATGCGATCTAATTTCTCGAATGCGGTTTTAATGGAACCTATTTTAATATGACAACAATGCGCTGTCCCGAAAAAAACGATACGTGAATTTTGGCCGATTCGATTGAGAAAAATCTAAAAAAAAAAGTATTAATTTAAAATCGTATGCTAAAAATGACAAAGTGTGTCTATCAGTCGACCCAAGTCTCACTCAAGACTGAACAAAAACAAAGCCGTTTCTCCGTGAATAAAAACCCATTCTCAGTTTTGTGTTTAAAAACCGAAAACGATTTGTCTTTTTTCTGTTAAACCTGATCTTTTTCTCTTCAGTAACAAGTTAACTTCAATCGATTCATATTCAAATTTCATTTATCCTACCCTATATTCACTTTAAAAAGTCAGAAAATCACTTCAAAATATTCACTTATTTCTTTGCTCTTATTCCAGATTCCTCAAGTCACATCGGCTCTTAAAAAGCCAAGACATGCGAGAACGAATCGCTTTTGTGTGAGATGTCCCAAGCCAATACAGGCTGTGTCGCGTGAAGGCCTGGATGGTGTTCTGGTACAACCACCACCGCCGCGTTCATGCAAAACCCATTTGCCATTTTCCGAGCATTTATTTAAAATAGAAACACTTTTCGGACCAGATATTCCATTCGTACTACCAAAAGGTCGACATAGTCTTCATGCAAAAATTCGTAACGTTGAAACGGGTCTGGTCATTCGGAGTTGTGTTTTGAAATATGATGTAATTGTACCGCATTGTAATGGTTACCCGAATTTGAAAAACAAGAATTTAACAATGTCTTGTACGGCTGCCACTGTTTGGGGCTCGAAATGTGCATTCGGATGCAAGAATGAAGGCGAATTTCTTACACATCGCGAACCAATGGTCTGTAGCGAGAGCTTGGAATGGATCGGAGAAGAACCGAATTGCACTCAGGAGTTGAGTGAGTGAATATTTAAGGAGTTTTGCAATGAATAAAATCGAATGCGATTTTTTTCTTCATTTTGATATGAAAATGTTTGGTAAAAACAATGGAATGTAGGATAAAAGATCACATTTACGCGTTCATAGACTCAAAAAGCATGCGTTTTCACTTATTGTTTCGATTTGAAGAAAGAATTGGTTGATTTTCACTTAAAAATGACAATTTTGTTCGGTAACTCTTCAAGTTATTCTCTTCTCGACTCGTTTCTAGCAATTTGAGTGCATTTTCTGCTGCTCCCCCTGATTTTTTTCTTTCCTCATCCAATTCAAGTTAAAAAAAAAAATGTGAATAATCTTCTGTCTTCAATGAAACCAGATTTGAAAACTACATTTTGCTTTGATTTTTCCCACAGATAACGAGGTCTACCTTGGCGACGAGCCGGCGAATGATACCAAAAGTGGGGAGTACTGTACACAGCCAGAGCCACCGACAAACGGTCGTTTTATTTGTGTTGCAGCAAATCAAGATTTTCAAGCTCTTTTGACTAACGTGGATGTAAATCTCATCGAAACGCAAAGAACTTTGGCACCTGGCAGCACATGTCATGTGCAATGCAATCGCAGCTTCGCAATTCCATACCATTTGAATCCTTTTTCGAAAGTGGAATGCACCAACGGCACATGGAACACAACAAATATCGATTTTTGCTACAAAAGACAGCCACAACGTCGGCATTTAAAGTATCATCGCAAAGAGACACACACATAAATTTTTCCATTGCATATTGAAGCCAAAGTGCACAAGAAAGAAGGGAACTATCATAGAAAGAAAATTCTTTCATATCAAACAAAGAGACATCAAACGCCAGATTTTGTATTAAAATTCATGAATTTATCCAATTTTAGACAGTAAGCGCAATCGATCGATTCAAATCACACCCATTGAATTTTTTTAAAAATATAACGAATAAAGATTTATTTGATTCGTAATTCATGTATATTTTCAATTTTGAATCAACGACCAAAGTACGCAGAATATTTGAATTTTTCGGATTTCCCTGTGTTGCATATAGTAGATTAACGGTTCTATTAATGCCAAGTGATGAAGTTTTGATCTCTTTTAGACAAGGTCGTAGCGTGAATGAAAAGACAGGGGGGGCTCAGCCTTATTTTTCAAATAATAATCGTCAAAACTTCAGGGGGCTCAGAAAATTCCAGGGGGGCTCAGCCCCTTGCGCCCCTATGGACGCTACGGCCCTGCTTTTAGACAAATCTAGCGGATAAAATGTGGAAATTTTAGGTAAGTACCTGTTGCTATTTGAAATGACGACCGAAAATGTAAAAATATAGTGATAAAATATTTCGAGAATTTGGAAGAATGTGGGACCTACTTTGCAATTATTGATTCCAATTTATGAATCCTGGTTTAATTTGAACTCAAGTCTATATGAAGAAAGTGCAAAAAAAAAATTCATACAGAAAAACGGTACATTTTAAAATGCACAAAAATGGAGTGAACCTGTCCTATATTCGTTGAAAAATAAAATTCTATGAGAAAAAAAGGCTTCGAGGATGGCGTTTAGGTTCATTCCGGTCTTTTTAGGCACTCAAAGCCAACTGCCAAAATTGCAAGCGTTTCCATTTGAATTGAAAATTGATTGGATATTGGACATTAGGACTAACAAACGAATTTTCTGCGAGTTATGAATTGTACTAGCGAGGAAAATCTAGGTACTGCGAAAATAGCCACGAATGTTAAGAGATTGATTCTTTGGATCCATTGAAAAGATTGCATTTAACCCTCAACTGCATGAATTTTTCCTAGGACTGGGAGTACTGGTATTTGGTTGTTTTTGGCCATAGATAACGAAAAAAATATTCATAATCCTAGATTTCCCATGGTTTAGTCAGGAAATGCGATAGAAATAAGTCAGAGAACAATGAAATCCATTGTTTAAAAGTGTCAAAAATATGTCTAATTTGGAAACCGAATAATTTATTTTGTCAAATTTTCGTTTTCGTGCACATTTTTGTTTATAACTCACCAATCGTACGACATAGACAAATGACGCCAAAGACAAAAATAAAGAAAAAACATTGACAAATAAAAATTCCCCTTGAAGCAATGTCATCCGCCGTACGATTCACATTATACAGGTGTTTAAATGATGCCCGTCAAAAGGCGGGCTTATGCAGTTGAGGGTTAACCTTTGAATTTATGCACAAACGTTTCGACTACTCTATTTATCCCAATTTTACAATGCCAAATGATCAATTTTGAATAATTTTTAGATAAATCTAGTAGTGGATTCCATGGAATTTAAGGTAAGTTATTTGCTGCAAGTATCAGTTGCTATTTCAAATGACGATCCAAATGCTATTGTTAGTCACAATTTTGGCAATATTAAAGGAAAAACAATCAATTTCGGTTTATTTCATTCAATAAAAGCTAACAAAAAAACAACTTTAAACAGCAAAAATGCTTGACGAACAGCAAAAAAGTCTCAAGAGGGGTTTTCTGAATAGCTTTATTGAACAGAGAGAGAGAAAAAAACTGGTAGGTTTTCCAAAAAATCCCCAAAAAATTGGAGAAGATCACAAAAAATAGAAACTTTTCTTCAATTTCATGATTTCAGTCCGTTCAGTTTGCATGCAATTGTAGGGAAAACATGTACTTACCAACGCTTCTTCTTCCAAATATCTGTATCGTCACGTCTGCAGTCTGCATTCCATCGCAAAAGCACCTGAAACGAATAAATCACAATTTAGAGAAAGTTTCAAAACATTTTTGAAGTGTTTCTTTATTTTTAATTGAGGAATCTTTGAAAACTTGTAGGAATCTTTGAATAAAAATCAATTAATATTTTTTGAATGAAACAAAAACAGTTTTCAATCTACTTTCACTCTTTTTGCTAACCTGAATGAATTAATTGTTAATATTCCAACATGTATCCTCTTATCGACCAAAAAAAACTTGAGCCTATCAAAACAATGTTCGCTTCAATGGAAAAAAAATGCTATGGATTTTTGCTTAACTAAACAAAATCGAATGGGCGACATCACGGCGCGAGCTCACTTTCATTCGGCGAATTCCACGAAAAGTCGGCGAATGCTAACAAAGCATGTTTTATCGTGTATGGCATTCGGCGACGCACGAAAGGCGGAGAATAACAACAATCCTCGGCTGAACGTATCGCACACGTTTACCAATACATGTTCATTCACATGGATAGTATTGCGAATGCGCCAAATGCTGCTGATGCCTCACAAACACATGAACGGTTTGCACATTTCCCGAACGCCAATGCGTTCCCCATGGAAATGCATGCGCATCTTTGTTCGCCGCAAAGCGAAAAAGTGATCACTACATGTGTGCGTGAATCCAATGAAAAAAATACCGCTAAGGCCAGCCAGAAAAGGGAGAGAAAAAAATCGTTCTCATCAACCAAATTTTCTGTCATAAAAAAAGCAATAAAATTAAAGAAATTATCGATTTCGTCTGGTCGCTCAAATTTCAGTTTTCTGGGAAATCGAAATGAACCACACAAAAACATGAACATGTGCAAGTGCTGCTCTATGCAGTATGCTTGAATGCATACGATCCCTATGAAACAATGCGTAGATTTTTGAAGAAAAAACCAAAATATTTTTTTCTCTCGCACTCAAAATGCGGCGTTTTTTGTTGTCAATGACGAACTTGGGCAATGAGAAACACTTCAATTTTCGTTCATTCGAACGTTCATGTGCGATAATGTAATTTCAGGAAAATTCATGAAATTGGACCAAAAACCAATAAATTATCACATTTTGTCACGCAGATGTTAATCGAATTATTTTCACATTTGTTACAGCAAAAGATCAATGTGTCACTTTATTGACCCCGATCATGACTGCAACCGTGATTTATTACAAATTGAAATCGAATGGAATATCCCATTCTACATGCGATTCAAGCGAACAAAACCTACTGAATAAAACTAGATTTATTGTGTCACAATTTGTGTGATAAATTTATTGCGCAATTGAATGCGCGCTATAATCGATTGCAGTGCTTCGGAGATGGTTTTAGATAAAATAATTCGGTTTTATTCACGGGAGTCAATGCGACACGGAATACTTTGTGTCAACTTGTAAACATGCACATATGAATGTGATTCAAAAAAAATTCTAATCGATTAAGTAGATCGTCTACGAAGAATAAATTATTATTTAAAAGAATTATGGAATACAATTTTAGCAGAGAATTAATCGCACTACGATGGTTGATTCTACATGTTTTTTTTCTCGAACGAAAACCGTATTTGTTTCAATGATCTTAGTCACGACGAATTGGCAGAAATAAATGTATTTCGGTTTTGTTTGAAAGAATTGACTAGACAAAGTCTTTACAACGACATTTATCGAATCAAGTACAGAAGTTTTACACAAGAAAGACCGGCTTTTTTTTGCAAGAAAACCAGTCTTTTTCTTTGAAAACATGTAAATTGTACACTTGATTCACTACTTGACCACATGCTGATTAGAGGCTGTTTTTCACTCACCTTTTTCTAGCCGAATTTATTCGGTAAATTTATTTTATTTTGCCAATTCATTTTATTTTTGTGAATTCATCGAGACCAAGTCGAACTAATAAAAAAAGAACTTACTCAAAGTCAATGTTCTGCAGCTTTTGAGAGCTCACTACTTCGTAATGGGATGAAAATGGCGTCGTCACTGGCATTTTCAACCACTATATCACTGTCATTTTGAAAAATCCGAATTTAAATACGTCAATTTGCACATTGAAATGGACGAAGAGAAAAAAACTGAAGATAAAAAAGAAACACCCGGGCAAGACAAAAAGAAAAACACACAAAAAACTTTTCGTTGCCTTCATTCAAATTTTGAACAAGAAAAAAGGCTTAGAATTTTGTTCGACCGAAATGTCTTTCAAGTTCGTATTGAGATCAAATGTTTTCGCGTGAAATCACACTAAAGAGAATGAATTTGGGTTGGATCACATTGCGAAATGCAATTGAACGGAATTTATCGAATCACGCACGTTTAGCTCTAGTTTCATTGCTCTTTTTCTTGTTTTCTCGGCACTTTCTCTCTCTCTCTTTCTTTCTCTCTCTCACTATTTTTTCTTCTTTTTCTGGTGATTTTTTTCCTCATTGTTTTCTCTTCGTCTAATAAGCACACTACATTTTTCGCTATTTCCGATTTGTCGAAGAGCATTTTTTCACTATTTTAAATTCAACGCTCAATTCACTTCAAATAAAAATTCCGAATTTTTTTATGCTCACGAGAAATAAACAGTTCCACTTTTAATTGACAAAAACCGAGAATGTCCGTGTGTTTTTTTTCACTTTCACTTGGAGCTGGCAAGAAAACTCAACTGATTCGAACGGATGCGATTTGAGAAATGTATGGAAATTACAAGAGAGTGAGAATGGAATGGGATTTCGAAACGGCTCGCCATGGGAAATGCGTATGTGTGTCGTTTGCGCTTTCCATGTACGGTGCGGAAGTGTGCGTGATATACTTTCCCCACCCGAATGTGTGACAAACCGCAAGCCTGAATACAGGAGCTGCGTTTTCATTCGTGTTCCCTGTGTATTTTCGCAGCGTTTGGAACGATCGCTGTATTGGTGTTTTTCAACAGCTTAACGCGATTTCCATCCACAGTGGATATCGTAGTAGTGGTGTAATGTGATGAAATCGTCGTATACACAGGCGTAAACAGTAGACCAGCGCGTGAAACGAGGCACGTTTTTCTCAGAATTTTTATAAGAAAACAATTTAGAGTAGAAAACCACTTGATGCAGAAAAAAGAAGCGCGTGACAAAATCTCAGCCACAACTGAACTGATTTTCATGATTTTTCGTGGTGCAAAATGGAATAAAGAGATCAACCGGGTCAATTTTGCTGAAACAATGCTTTAATTTGGTTCAAATCAATAGCACTTTCGTTCATCTGTCAATGAGTCTTCTTCAAAATAACAAAATCAGTCAAACATTTGGAAACAAATGAGCGCAGATTTGAATTTTTTTAGTATCTTCTTTGAATTTGGGTCTGATTCGAAGCTGCTTGAATGAGAAAATGACAAAAACAATGCGACTGATGTCCAATGTTTTATTCTAAATCAAAGAGCCTTTCGATCCATTGAAAAGATTGCATTCCTGTTGAATTCACAACGTTTGAGTCATTTGAACGCTTGTCTAACGATGCGCTACGAATTGGATTGATTTGATATAATGGATCTTGGAAAAAACTCACATGATGATACAAACGTTTGGCGTCCGCAAAATGCCATTTTTATTGAACATTCCAAATGAAAAAAACACACAATTTTAGCTGTGATATATGTACAAATCGGTGTAATCAACACCCATCGCTGCACTTCATCGTCTAGAAACGGCAATGGCACAAAGTGAAACGTAGCTAGATTTATAATTTTGTAGGCATTTCACGATCTGATGCCTAGATCGAGCAATACGGTAGAAAAATCTGATGTAATTCCAATGCACGTTATTTCATACATTGCAAATGATCAAAGACCATCGTTTTATACATTTTTGCATCATTTTTATCTGAACAAAATCGATACCGATGCAACCGTGTTGCAAAATGAAGATGCCATACTAAATACCGATGGATCGCATTTGGCCTATCATACTTTGTGAAACTTTCCCGATCGCTGATCAGCTCGCACACATTTCTGGAATTATTCCATTTTACAAAAAGCCGTAGCATAATCTTCAAATTGCAATGACAATTTTCGATTTCGAATGTTACACAAAAAACACCTATTCAAGTTACTCAACGAAAAAAAGCAGTAAAGACCGTGAAAGTGGAACAAGTCCATGAAATGCCTCAGGCTATTTTACGGCAAAACTGTTCGAATATAATTCGATGCTGCTTTTAGTGATATGCACCGCTCAAATCTATGTCTAGACTCTGTTTTATCTGAATTCAGTATTTAGTTTGAGTCGATTTTGTGCCTAGTTCGAGGGGGAAAAAACAACAAAATCGAACTTGTTGACAGTTTTCTTGTTATCTAATTGATTGTAATTGGAAAACAATTAGGTTGTCAAAGTTTATCAAAGTTTTATTTAGAAAAAGAGAACGGAAAGGAAAAGTGTTTCAAGTCAATTTTTTTGCTCATTGCAACTCATTTAAACTAGACTCGGTTTGTACAGATATCGAAGTTGTTCATTAGGAAATTCAAAATTTAGGAATCCATTGTCATTATATTCATTTCACATCGAATCAACTTGGTGGGCAGTAGTACGCACTGAGTATATTAAAAAGTCCAACTGTCATGAGATGAACAACAAATTGCTTGAGTCTTGACTAAATCGGAATGAAATCACACTGAATTAATCGATTTTGGTTGGGTAAGTTGTACTGAACCGAAAATAAAACCAAATAATTGTTCCAATGGAGGTAAAAAAAAAGTTGTTTTCATGCTATTTCTACGCCTTAAGAATGAAGAGCTGCACCAAACAATCTCGAATGAAATGCAACATGAGAGGCGAATGGCATTAAGCAGCGATATTCGACACAGAAAAAGAGTCATAATAAAATACACGTACAAGAAATGGCTTTTAGTTTTACTTCTGTGATATATTTTGCTCGAAATCTGAACCGCTGGCCGCGGTACTAAATTTACGATTGAAAAAATGATAATTCATTCAGATATATTTTGATGTGTTTATTTGGACTAAAATGCTTAAGCAAAAACAAAACCGCTATGCCTATTGCTATTGAATGAAAAATAAGCAGACGATAAGTTTTGTTGTGTCGTTTTAACATTTTGCAGCGTTTGCAATACGTGGGCCACAGCTTACGTTTGCCGGTTTGTTTGATAATAAATTTGTATACACCGGCATTCATATCGGTTTACGACCAAACACTGTGCTGTCTGAATTGAACGTAAAGTCCATATTTATTCAAGTCAATTTACATATTTTGATGCTTTGCATTTTTCAATGGATCTCATTTCATGCAACAACAAGAGACAATGCTGTTTCAAAAGCGAGTTATAGTGTGGCGTTTATTCCACGGCAAGCTGTGGTGTATATTCGAAAGAGATTGTCATTGAAGTGCAATTCAAAATTGAATTGTGTCGAATTTTTCGACGATTTAATTGAAATATTCAACTAAAAAGGCGTTTTTCGACTCTTCAAATCCAATGGCTGCTGCCAACAAGTGACTGTTGTCTACAATTCGTATTAGTAAATTAATGAACGAAAAATCTGGAATAATTCGATTCAATTAATAAAAAAAAGGCCGATAGAAAACTAAGCAGTGAATTAAAATAAGCACAAATGGTCAATAACAAAGTTTTGAAGCCAAACTAATTAAAATCAACTTGAAATAATTATTAAAACGTGACATGAGTTTGGAATCGTAAAATCGATTTTTTCCTTCCTTTTTCCTTTCAAAGCGTCGGTTATGAAAGTGTTGATAATAATTATTCGAGCTGAAGTTGAGCATGGGCTTCGACAATTGTTTCGTAATCATAGAGATAATCACATATGATGTCAAACAAAAAAAATAAATCCCAAAATACACTTCAATGCTAGACTCAATTGTGAATTAACCATTTTTCATGCTCTCAAAAACAAAAATAACAACAAGCTGACTTTAAACAACAAACGAAGGTGGCTTTGGACAATTGTACTGGCTTTTCCAGTTTTCAGATCATATTTTAAAGCCATTTGAATCGTTTACAATCAGTCTTTCTGTTCGAAAGATCACAATCATTTTCTGTTGAAAAATTAAAGCAACTAAAAGACACATCGGTTTTGAAAACTTAAAAAAAATAATCAAGTAAATAAACCCAAATTGAAGTCAAAGCGAAGCACTTAGACATTTGAATGAGTCCAATTCGAAGTTTGAATTGAAATTCGGTCTCATTTGATTCAATCGAAGTAGAAGTGGTAACGAACAAGTTTGGAGTAGGTCTAAATAATAAATAAGTGGAGTGCTTATTAAAGTTTCCAAGTGCACTTTGGTCCTCATGATTATTTCAAGCTAAGAACTGATTTCGTTCAATTTCAAATGTGATTTCATCGAGAAATTCATTAAATTTTGAGCCCGACTCGAATTGAGTCATTAGAATCATATATGATATGGCATATATGTCAAATCTTTTGGCTAAATAAGTTTCTTCATTTGCTAGTGCTAGACACCGTCGCTAAAAAGACTGAAGAAAGGATGATTTTTATGGAAAATTTTCGACATAAATCTCGTTCACGGCAGGAATATTCCTTTCTTTTTCGTTTCTTTCTCGTCTTATTCGTTGTCATGAAAGAGTGTCCATTAGCCTCGTTCAAACCGAATCTATTCAGCGGTACATATTTCTGTTGATATTAGTAGGATTTGTTTACATCAATCACTTTTCAATCTCGTTAGAAAAACTGTGTTATCACATCAAGAGTAGAAGAAAAAAATCAGTCATGCGTTTGTTCTTTGCGCCGTAAATCCCGTTCACAATAATTCAGTGCAATGTAATTAAAAATAGTCACTTCCATTAAACGAACCGCCTATAAAAATCCCATAATCTCCAATCATTTCCCGGTTCACATGAAAAACGAAGAATAAATCATATGCATTTTGTTCAAAGTGATGAATTAATCTGGAATATGCAAGCGAAGGGAGAAAAACTGTCGCAAATGAAACGTTATCAGTGCGTTTTAATATTCGAAACATGCCAATAATAAATCGGGTATTAAACATGTTGACAACAATTAAACTAATGATAATTCGCAACAACCGGCGATAGCCTACGGTTACGTTGTTCACATTGCAAAATGTAAAACGATCGACTCTCGTCGGTTGTAAGTTCATTGGGTAAAACACAATGCATATATTACATACAAATTGGCGTGTGATGGACATAAGCAGCGGTTTCGAAATCGAAAGTGAATATATATATATACTCAAATGAGCTCCGTTAAATATATTCTCCGTCATTCACGGTGGACGAGAACAGAGAGAACGATTTTTTGACGACAGAAAAGCGATAAAAAAATTTCTTTGGAAAAAAAATTAAGAGTGAATGATGCGTTAATATGGCCTAGCTTTACTCAATACGGTCAATTTGAAACAGCCCATATGCGTCTTGAACCCACATGAAGAGAGCGCGCTTCTAAGAGAGTTCAAACACACAGAAATCGACTGAATGACCGTGAAGTGTGAAAGAAATTTCGGTTCGGGTACTTAAAGCAATGAAAAAAAAGAAGGAAATAAGTAAAAAGAACGAAAATGTCTGGGTCGAATAAGGTTTGTATTGAGCATTTGAGAAAACGGAACGAAAAAGGCATAAATTATAGTAATTCGAAACTACCGAGAAGAAATTCTTCTTGATAGAAACGCAGAATTGCCTCGAAAGCGATTTTACTACTTCAGGCGACAAAAAACGCGTTTGCCTCTCCGTGACTGTAGTTTCTGATTATGTTCACATTCCAAATGGCTTACATCAGCACTGTATATACACGAACGCGTCACCCAAACCGTTCTGTTGTGTGTGCATTAAATTTGATTTTTTTTCTTCTATTTTCTTCATACATGAAGAACATGTAGTTTTTGTTCTCTCTTCTTGATACAATGTACACAAAACAAACTTCACACACAGCGGAGTGGAGAAAAAAGCGAATGCAAAATGATAGCCGAGTTTCATACTCGGGCACGATGCGATAACACGAGCATGCATTGCGAATTTCTTTTTTTGTGCTATTTTTAATCTCTCTCATGTTCCCCATTTAATGTTAAATTGAGAATACAGCATTTCCACTGAACTCACTTGATTATGCGCAATTCACGAGACTTTGACGAAAGGACATTTTAGTGTGTATGCATGTAATGCAGTTACAAGTCTACTGAGATAGAGAAACACACAGAGCAAGTGCAATTAAATACGTTCTGTTGGCTGCGCTGTATCTGCTCAATAGGCTCGATGCAGTGGATCTTAATCGTTCTGAAACAGTGGTTGTTCGATTCAGTCATGTGCCATCGCTCATACTAAACACACCTGTGAACGCGAACGCTCGTTTCAAAAGTCAGTGTTAAACGCGAAATAGCATGAGTTTTACATTATCAACAAACCGAAAATTTGTTGGACTGTCAATAAACAAATTAGTTCATTAGAAACAAATATTCGATTTTATTAACGTTAATTTCCAAGCGATTTGTTTTTCGAAAAACAAAACGAAAACTCATCTTTAATCAATTGTGTTTACATCGGAACGCATTCGTTGTCATCACAGAAAAAAATGTGTAGAAAAATGGGAAAAATTTCCGGTTTTGCTGAGATTCTTATCACATTGTTTCTCATTGGTGCGTAAGATCGTGTTTTGATGGATTCATGTGTGTGTGTGTGAGTGCGTGCGTGTGGAATTCTTCGAATAATCTGATAAAATAACTGATTGAACTTCGAATCAAAGTTTTCGGACTGATTGCTGGCGCATGTTTGGAATTTGGAATTTGGAATTTTTATTCAAATTAAAACTGAATCAATGTGGAAATTTAATATGAGGTTATTCTTTGAATAGGTCATTACAACTTCGTTCGCTACGCATTTCAAAGCAAATGACCCAACAACAACGCACAAACGGCGATGGCTCAAATCAAAATTACCCGCTATTTTGTCCGTGCAAAAAATATAAAAATCAATATGCTACCGAATAACTGGTGTCACACTTTTGACGATTATAATTATTTTGGACGTTTCATTGAGAATTTGGCGAATGACAAACCATTGACTCTGAGAATGACTCTTCGCCAAAATGTGTTACGCCGTGGGGAAATGCAATTGAGTCGTGATGTTGTGAATTTTAAACGAAACTTCGTGGAGTGTACTTTGTTCAGTGTAATCTCGTTCATTTTGGAATGAATAATCGATTGAGTCTCGAACCAATGATCAATTGAACTGGGTATTGATTGAAAGAAAGAATCGTTTGAGCATTTTCTCATGCGAACCACTCATTGAAATTAATATAGTTTCTTATTGAAAAAAGCAGAAAAAAAAGTGGCAGGCGCACCTTTCGAATGTTTATTATCCAATCAATTAGCTTACGCGATAAAAAGTAACCAATTTGTGTATCGACATGCAAAAATGGTCATTTCATTGATGAAACTGTACGAAAAAATCAATCAACGTGCTTGCACTGCAAATTACGATGAAAATCCATGTTTATCCGTTGCATGCCCGAGTTGACAGCAGAATAAGAAACCAAACTAACACAAAACGAAACAAATCGTTCACACCCGGTTCAAATACGCACGAAATTTGCTTACTGAATTTCATAGACAAGCAATTCTTGGAACGACACAAATCGATTATAATTGATAGCCGTGATCGATGCATGCATTTCTATGTTGAAAGAAGAATATGAGCCGCAAGTGGCTCCATGAAATTAAGCTGATTTGAATAAAACGATGCGTGTTTTCATGCAATTCACACATGAAATGCTGAATTCCAGGGCTGGAATTCTAAGTCATTCCATCAAAATCGTTCGGAATTATTTTGGTGGAATTCTCAGAATTCCAGCCCAGATGCAATTGAAGCTCAATATTGGTGCATGAATGATCGTTTTCAAGTCATTTCCAAACCCAAACAAACGCATAATTCAATTTAGGTGTTTTTATACAGATCGCATTTTTTTTTTCTACCGAAACATTGTTTGTTGAAACATTCAAATTATTCGCTGAAAAATGCAAATTGTTTGTTGCAAAATTCTAATTATTTACTCGCCAAACAATCTTGTTAATTGGTCTATTAAACGCTCTTTGATGTAAAATTACAGAGTAATTAATATTTTTTTTCATCAGTCGAATGGTTTGAACAAAAAGGCAACGAGTGGCCGCTACTGCGAACGATATGTCTGCGAACGTGTTATAGAATCGTTTTGCTCTCTTTTTTCGTACTTGTTTCTCTGCAGCAAGTACGTGTTCAGCGTGAAATACTTGTGAGATTTAACAAGATTGACCGATGCCATAGCAAAGAGAACACATTTCTTTTCACTCTCGTATCGTTGGAATAAATTGCAGTTTATGACTTTAAGTAATTGCGGTTAAGTCGTTACAAAACGATTTATCTTGGGAGATAAAGATTTTATTGGAATTTTTATTATGTCATTCGGGCGCTCAATCTCTATAATTGATTTATATAGTTGTGGTTCAATCAGATGGCTTTGTATTGGTATATATGGCTTATTAAAATGCAATACGAAATCCTTCAACTTCAATCAAATCCTAATGGATTTTCAATGAGAAAATGTTTTTATGACTTTTTTCAGAGCTCTCAAGAGCTCTAGAGCTATCCTGGAATTGAAGCAATGAGTGCAAAGAACAGACTAATGAAATGTGAGAAAAACAGATACGAAATATGCATCGATGCATATATGCAAATCGCGCGCATTTCAATTTTATTGATACATTGGCTTCAAGAATCAAAAAGCAATAAAAAAAACCAATCGACATTGACTTTCAAAGGAGAATGCAACTTTTTTATTCGCGATCGAATTAACTCTGTTTTAGCCACTGATCATGAACTGAGTTCAGTTAACTTTTTTGCAATTTTAACGGTATTGAATGAACGACCGTTACACACAGAAAAGAATCCCCGGAAATTTTGGGTGTTCGCCGTAAAATTTGACATTTATATTTCTATATACATCATAAATTTCTATATACATTTTACCGGCAACACTTCAATTTTCCGGGCGATGACATATTTTCGAACATTTTATCAAATACTATGTATATTTTACCGCTTGAAATGACAGATGGCGCTAATTTCTGTTGGAATATTTGAAATTATGTCATCGCCCGGAAAATTCAAGTGTTGCCGGTAAAATGTATATAGAAATTTATATATAAATGTCAAATTTTACGGCGAACACCTAAAATTTCTGGGGATTCTTTTCTGTGTGTATACTTTTGTTTGTAGTGGGTTTGTACGTGAAGAATTCCCAGAGTATCAAAGAGTTAGAGAATTTTTGAGAGGAAAATTGACGTAAAATGTCAAAACAATACGAAATTTGAAAAAAATGAGCAAAAAAGAGTTTTTTTTTTCTTTTTGAGAAGGTGTAAAAAACAGTGAAAGTGAGAGAAAGAGAAGAGATAACAGCGACTCTTCTTCTCGAAGCGAAATAGAGATATTTCTTGTGAGAAATTAAATTAATTAAAGGAAGGCGCTTCTAAAAACTGCCAAAGTGATTTGATTGTGATTTGAAAACTAAACGAAGAAAGTCATTCTAAACAAAGATAGGGCGTTGTATATCATCTTCGATTCGAATAATGTTACAAATTAAGTGTGACTGGGATAAAATTGGATTTTCTTTTGACTGTGAAAAAATTGATTTGAAACGAAATTTCAAGAAAATCCTTGTCGAGAGGAAAGAACATTCTCGCATTTATCGAAATGAAATTGCTTGAACTGAAGTGCCCAATGCGATGAAATGCTTCACATTTTCTGGATTTTATTGAATAAGCAGTGCTTATTAAGTACATTCTCCAAATTGATTTAATCGCTATTAATCACACGGAGAAGAATTTCTCAATGAAAAGACTGTAACGAAAAAAAATTTCTCAATGAAAGGTGTTAAAGTGTACAGGTGTACACAACAATCGTGCTTTCGAATTTTCTAACTAAAATTTCATTGAAATTCACATCGTTGTTCAATCACAAGGTAATTCACAGCTGATCAGTGCCTCTATAGTTACAAGAACAACACAACTTTATGCTTTTGAACTAGTTCAGTGCTTTGAATGACGTTTTTTTCCTCGATAAATGTTGAAATGTTCAGGTTCTTTGAATATTTGCATTACAAACACTGAATGAATTTTCATTCATGGTTTTTAGTCAAAGGATCTTCCTCCAAAAGGTAAAGAAAAAGGAAAAAAAAGGAGAAAAAAAAGAAGGGCATGTGAGAAAAACAGACGAAGAATTCGACATATGAAATGATGCATGTATGAGAAGAAGAAGAAGAAAAAAAGAAGGAGACGAAGAAGATGAGCACCTCTTGTAAAAATTATGCATTTCATCGAATGGAACTATGCACCTTTTTAACTAAAGTCCATTTTATTGAACAATGATCGCTTTCTTTGATATAACACCAACATTTTGTTGTCTAGGGACCTTTCTTAAATTCATTCATTTCAAAATTTCATGTGAATTCTGTGTCACATGTATTCATATCGCAAGCGAATATGAAACAGTGCAAAATGTCTGATGAGTCTATAAATACAAACGTGCTTCAAGTCTTCTCTTGATAATGTTGAATAGCAAATGTGACATTCACGCGATAAAAATGCTATTTTACGACTGGATTCATAGAAACAGTTCATTCATAGCCATTTTATATGTCATCGGCATTTTTCAATCAAATTACATTTAATCGAGGCAAATTTATTCATTTCCCGCTGTCAAAATGTCTTCTTTAGACGACGGCATCGATGGCAATCGCGCAAAATATTTTGATCGTTTGAATTGCGAGACACCAATCTATTGTATAGGTTCTATACATGTTTGATGTAAATGAGATTAACAAACTGCACAGTAGGAGACAATTCTAATCACAGTTAGGCGTCACAACCAGGCGCCTTTACTGATTTTTCATTCCAAACAATTGCAATTTTTTCCGTCTGTATTGAATGTTGCTGATATCCATATTTGGTCATGATTTACGTCTGGTCGACGTGCGGAATCTGATAAGAATTGGCATAATTACCATTTTAATTAACGAAAAGTTCACGAAAATGTTCGAAAAATATAAAAATATTCAATGCTCCGTTGAAACAAAAGCATCACAAACGAATTTGTTAGATCGTCGATCAAAAGATGATCATGCAAATTTACTGATATCGATTGGTGTATGCGAAAGAAAAAAAATTGTTTTTGCTTTTGACGTGATCTCGTATTTTGGAATAAATTTCGGAAATTTCCTAATCGCGTATGTTGGGTAGCGAGAAATAGCTATCAAAACACATTAGAATTGAATCGACTGGTGCCAGACAAGGATTGATCAATATTGACAGATACCGTTGTATTGAAAAGAATTGGAAATTACAAAGACGATTTCTTCCAAATTGCCCTTGAATTAAAACAATATGGACTGAATGAAATGAAAAAAAAAATTATAAACGTTGAAAAATACCAACTCACATTTTACAATTCAAATTCAATATCCATTCTGTCATGTTTTAATCATTTTTTTGTCGCCGCCATTCGAATATAACAGGAAAAGTGGTTTCACTCTTTTATTTCTAAAGTGCACATCAAGCGACGCGTTCATAATTGTGAATAATTTTAAATAACATTTTAAAATAGCAATTGAAGTTTTAACCGATTGAAGGAAAAAAAACCACATATTTCAGCAAAGTGGTTTAACCTGTTCTACATGGTTGATATCGTTTCAGAGCAAATTTTGGCGACAAATAAATATTATGGCCTCTATGAAAGGTATCATCTCAATGCAATCTATTCGATATTGTTTAATTTAATTCCAATTTAATTAAACTTTTAATTCGAATCAATATCGATTGGATTATTTAAAAAAAAAATCCCAATTATCTTAACAAAACATAATAATCGAAGTGTCTTTTGGCAGATATCCAATAATGGTGCGTAAATATCATGGTCCACACTCGAAGACGGGTCTGAAACGAAGTACACAATACGGTGAAGTGTTTCACATTACGAAATACAATCAATCCCATGAATTTCTCAATGTCGATCAAGCAAAGGTATGCTTTTTTAACGTGTAGTTTGCGTTTTTTTTCAAGTTGTTGCTGAAATTAACTGGAAATTGAGTGGAAGATAATTCTCTTTTGATAGGGAAAATTAGAGACTTTCAAACAAATAGTTTTTTCGCACGAAAAATAGAAACTTATGTGTTATGACGGATATTTTTACACGTAAAATGAAGGGTTTCATATGAAAATCGAAGGAAATTAGACATTTTGACAAAAAAAAATGGAATCTTTAGCTAAGAATTGGTAGTTTGTGCTTAAAAAGTGGAAATTTGTGCATAGAACATAGCAATTTTGTCGAAAACTATTGAATTTTCGACATGAAAAGTGAAAATCTCCCATTGGGGATCAAATCTCATTGAGAATCAGTTTCGGCAAGTGATTAAAATCTTCAAGTTCCAATGGATATGACTATCAACGTGATTCTGATTGGAAAGGGGGACTTTATCAAACATTTTTCTGTATTTATAATCCGTTACTTAAATTTTACTTACAATTTTTACGCTATTTCTGCACATTTTCAAGGAATCTCAATGAAAAACCACATTTTTTATCAGTTTTTGCTCTGCACTTTTATTCTGCTTCCATTTTGATTAATTAATTTATTTATTTTTTTATTTCATCCAGTTCAAAATGCATCATTCAAATGATCCGAATAAGCATCGTCGACCGTGTGTGCGATGCCCAGGTGAAATAACGGCGATAGCACGAAAAGGATTGGATGGCATTTTGGTGGAACCTCCAGCACCGTTATCTTGCAAAACTAACCTCCCATTTGCGCGCAATTTGTATAGCATCGAAACGTTATTCGGATCCGATCTATCGTTTGTGCTTCCAAAGGGGCGACACAGTCTTACCGCGAAGGTACGAAATGTTGAGTCGGGTCTAATCGTTCGAAGCTGCCATCTGAAATACCATGTGATTGTTCGGCGCTGCAAGGGATTTCCATCACTGAAGAAGAAAAATATCAAAATGTCTTGTACGGCTGGAACCATTTGGGGTTCGCAATGTGCCTTCGAGTGTAGAAAGGAGGGTGAAAGTCTTAGCCACCGCGACTCTATCGTTTGCAATGAAGATTTGGAATGGATCGGCGAAGTACCGCATTGTGTTTCGGATATTGGTAAAAAAAAATACTCATTTGCACAATTTTTGCATTGAATCGAAATTGATTTAACCAACAAATCGACATTTTTCCTCAATAAGGACTAAAATCATGTCAATTTTTTTTCCAGAAAACACACTGGGTTATGTTCGAGACGAGGAATTCTGTTCCCAGCCTCCCCCACCAGCCAACGGCCGTTTCGTTTGCGAAGCAAAAAACCCGGATTTTCCGGACACATTACCGAAATTGGAACAGAATATCATCGAAAGTTTAAAAATGCTAGCGCCAGAAAGTGTATGTCACGTTCAATGCGATCAATCACACTCGATCCCATACCATTTATCAATGTTTTCAACGATTCAATGCATAAATGGAGCATGGAACACAACCGATATTGAATTTTGCTATAAGAAACAGCCGCAACGTCGCCGACGTCACCGATATTCACATGCACGTAATCAAACAAACCCGTCACATCAATCAGTTCAAACCCATTTAGATAAGACGTATTGAAAGCAAAAAAAAACAAACAAACAAAAAAAAATCACCATTCACCAAAGCAACCAGTTCATTGGCTCAACCAAAGCATCATCAGTGCAATACAGTTTAAGTGATAGACGTTTGATATTTTAAAGAAAATCATTATTATTATTATTTTGTAAATTATTTGTGTTCAGCAAAACGTATAAATTTATCACATGCAATGTGTGTTTCACGTTACTTTGTTTTCTGTTTCTTTAATTCAATGAGCTTGTTATTTTCATGAGCGATGTTTTTCAAATTGAAACTTTCAATGAGCATTAATTGATTGATTGATTTTTCGACATTAATGAAGTCAATCGAAATGTCGCTCGTGCCGACAACACGGTTGACAAAAACAAACCTGTTTATGGAAGTGCGTTTGAAAAACGTCCGTTTTATTACTTGTTTATCACCGTTTTAGATCATGTGTATGGCGTTTTAATTGCGGAAAAAGGCTATAGATTAGCATAATTCAAGCAGAAAATCATGAAAAGTTGCATTCGAAGAGGAATTTCGCACTGACAGACAGTTTTTTTTTTACTGCGAGCACAGAGAGACTGAATTACTTTGTTTTCAGTTAAGTCAAGAGCAGATGTAAAGAATTGCAGTTTGAATGCACATATCAGACGCCATTTATAGTGATGATTACGATTTATGATTTTTTTAAATGGGCAAAGACCACAGAAGCGATAGAAGTGGATCTTTTCCGGATAAAGACGGTCTTGTTCCGTAATTCATTTTGGAAGAAATTTCAGTTCCTTATTTCTATTGGTCGAAATTGATGCCAGAGATACACGATGCAATCCCATGTGCAAATAATGCCTAACAGACTGTTACTGTTAATGACTAATAGTCACTCAGTTGTATATAGCGGTACACGACTCACACTGGCCAATTTTACACGGAATAAGATCCATGATCGCACCGCGTGTCAACTGAAAGATTGCAGAGAGAAATAGTACTCTTAGTAGATCCATTGACTTTTCCGTTTATTTACTTCTACACAGCCGCGTTTCTTCTACGACGAATTTGTGCTTCACTGCGAAGTTAATCACATTTATTGTTCAAATATTGTTCTCCTTGGTTGAATCAGAATAAAAAGATTTCGATTTCTTTGTTCTTTTTTAAATGAAAAGTTTTTGGACCATATATTGACACATAACTATATATTTTTCTGCTTCACATGAAATTAATATTTCGTTTTCATTCATATCGCAGGACACGATTTGAATCGACGGCAAATGCCTTGAAATATATGGAAGTATAATCATTTTTCACAGCAATCCCTCAGAAATCAAATTTATGGTATGCAACGGTTCCCTTCTTTATCTTCAGCGAAAATGCGCCACATGTCCCATTCATTCATTTTATTCAATCCGGTATTCGGGTCAATAGAGCGATAGCGGCTCATTAGCGGTAATCGCCCGAAAAATTGTTGTTTACATTTAGATAAATTAGCAATAGAAAATGATTGTACCCAAATGTAAATTAAATATAAAAACTTCGTTCTATTAACACAATCCTTCCTTACTTCAGAATGGGGCGAATACGATTGTTTCATGGTTGCCGCGCAGCAAACCGATGCATATGTATGTGTTTGTATTCTTCATTTCTTCCCTTTTGCCAAGCAAACGTGAAGAAACTGCGACCATGACATCATCGAGGCGATTTTCGGGCGTCAGCCAAAGCCAACTGTGCAAATATGTTTGGCGCTTGCTTGGTATTGATGGTTAGTCGAATTGATCGTGTGTGTGTGTTTTACGGATGGTGGCGATGTACATACGCGTTTCCCATTAGCTGTAATCCCCATTTCTTCTTCGCCAAATATCACATATTGGGCATATGCGATGGATGATGCAAACGGAAACGAGAGAAATCGCACTTAAAAATTTCGAATATTTAAAATTACCAAAAATATTCCGAAGATTTTCTATCTAACTAACATTCGATGAATTCGGAAAGACAAACTATGTACCGAGCCGGCTCAGCCAACACAATGATGTCTTTTTTGTTTCGAAGGTGCTAGACTCGCAGTTAAGGCTCTAACCTTTCTAAGTTAATTTAAACAATTTGTATTGTGAGTCACAAAGCGGTTCCTGCAACACATGGCCAACAATTTTGTATTGTAAATTTTCTTGGATTGAATATATACTGTATCGTAGACCGCCTATGGACGATTATGCAAAGAGCTCATTCAAACCATTAACAATTCAACTGAAATCAGTTTTCTAATTTTACAAAAAGTAGATGCACACAATCCGGATGCAATTTTCATTGCTCATTCGAAAATTCACAATTGCAAAGTCAGTGAAATCTACGAGATGTTCTAAAAAGTATGTATCAACGTTATCAAATTTTTCTCAACATTCACAAATGGTTGGTAAAAATGTATGAAATGAGCAAAACAAGTCACACATCTGCAAATTATAAAATCATCGGTCAAGTTGACTTTTCTAAATTGCTTGCCTTCAGAGGAAATTGTATGGTCATCAAAATGAAGAGAGAAGAGATAGATATAAGGACAGTGAGATAGGCTTGAGAACGGAAAAGAAGACAGCTCTGCTTTTCTTAGAAATTCTCACTGTTTTATTCATGTCATTTGAAATGCTGCAGGTGTGAAAGTTTTGTGTCTATTTCGTGTGTTTCCTCTGTTGCGCCAAAAATGACATCAGTCTCTGTGAGTTATTACATGTTTTGTGCACACAATATATTGTGTAATGGCTTCAAAATATTCATGGTTGCAATAAAAATAAATCTACCATTTTTTTTCGAACCGTAAAATTTACAATGGAATTTTATGAGTGAGGAATAAAAATGGCTTAAGTCACAAAACTCCCTTTGAGTGTCTCTCTCTCTGTACTCTTTCAATTCAACAGCAACTTTTTTTTCTTTCGCATCGCTTGGCTTGCGACATTCATAGACTGGAAAGAGACAAGGAGGCGGAGTTTCTGTGCATGCGTCGCCGTGCGACACTTTCCAGTCGATAAATCGACGTTCACTCGTTGATGGTTAATCGCCTTCGTACTAGGCAACCACACGCACACCACGTAAAGTACTTCGGCGAAGGAAAAAAAAGGAATTGAGAATGTATTCAAAATACATGGACTCGATCGCCTGCCTTGAATTACATGCCTTGCGATCGACTAAATGCATGCGATACATGTATCTCGCGCCACTTGCCTACTAACACACATAAGCAGCAGAATCGTTGAAGGAAAATAAAAGTTGGTTTTGAATTGACAGTATTTTTCGTGCTGGCTCTTTTTCGTTTTGCTCTCTATTTTCCTTTCGATTCATCATAATGGAGAAAAAAACTGAAAGTCTTTCTTCTTGCTGGGCACGTGCATTAAATTAAAGTGGATATCTGATCTCATAACGAAGATATTCCCGAATCAAAATCTTGACCACAAATAAGCAACTCATGTTGAATTGTAAATAATTTTCAATGTCATATTTTTTGTTCGTTTCGATTTAGATTTGAATAGGCATTGTCCATTTGGGCTATTCAAGAGTACTGAACTCGTAATTTGTTCATTTTTTCCCCAAAATTTACGCATTTTTTGTAATTGTTATATTCTACCAGCCGTTTTTTTTACTAAATGAACAGTTAGTTTACGTTTTATCTCATTCGATGGCCTGAAAAATGAAATGATGACCGTTTCCTCATACAAAAGAGTTCCAAGCAATAAATTTTGCCAACAATCTTCATATATTCATCCAAAACATCGACTGTATCTGAAATAAAAAGCACAGCGCTTGATTTGGAGTATTCAGGCAAAGTAAAAGATGATCCCGATGTTCGAATGACTTTTGCTGTGATGTGATCGCATCTAAAAACCCAATAATAGAGGGAATTCGTCTCTGACGTTCACATGAAAAACGTCTTTATTTACATTTTAATTAATCAGGCATCAAAATTGTAGTTTTAACGGGAAAATATCAGAACAAAATTGTAAGTGCTAAATTCCGGAAAAGTCTCCAGAACTTCACTTTTGCATCGGATATGTTTCAATTTAAGCCTCACTTTTGAATGATTTCGTCTTTTTGACACTAAATTCAACGATTTTAAATTCTAGTATACCTTGCTTAGTACGATTTATCTCATTTGTATTGACTTATGTTATGATAATACACTGACAAATTGATGGTTCTTTGCTTGCCTAGCAAATACAAGAGAAAATCTTTAAAAAAGTGGCTGAAACGACCGCCGATATGTTTCGAACATGACGTGCCAGTAATGATCCAAACATTTAAAAAAAAATCGTTCCATTTAACCAGAAAAATTCAAAAAAACAAGTTCAAGCTTAAAACCAAATTAATTTAATCCGTTTTTTAATGAAAAACTCAACCAGAGAATGTTGAAACCTTGTGGTTATCTCTGAAGTCATTTAGGTAAAAAATGCAAAAACTGGATTAAAATAATCTGATTTTAGCGAAGAAAAATGTTCGCTTCTGAAAATGTTCTAAGTAAGTGTGAAATATTCCTTTGCTTTTCGCTCTAATAAGCCATTCCAATGTCCAAGGATGAAGATTGCAATCGCCAGTGTTGTTTGAACGTGATATATTGATATAATAAAACACCAAACCACTGAGAAATGTGCTAAGTAATGGTCAATTAGACAATGTTCAACGAACGAAGAGAGCTCCAATGAAAATAAAGTAGAGAATTTGGGACTTTGGTATCATTCCGTACATGTAATTGATGACACTGCCGGTTTAAGTGATGGTCGAAAAGCTGAATTCAAAAAAGCGATGCAAGAATGGGAGAAATCTACGTGCATCGAATTTGTTGAACGAATCGAAAGCGAACACGCTTATTTTATTCGATTCACAAAAAATATGGACTGTGTCTGTTGTTCGCATGTTGGTAAACAAATATATGGTGGTCAAAATGTATCGCTCGGAAACGGTTGTTATTTTGAAGAAGTTCTCCATGAATTATTAGGCCATGTAATTGGATTTGGCCATGAACACTCACGACCGGATCGGGATGATTACGTGGAAATTCGGAGTGAAAACATTCAGGATAGTAAAGACCATAACTTTGACAAATTAACAGATGAAACTGTGGATTCATTGGGTGAAGCGTATGACTACGATTCAATTATGCATTATCCAAATAAGCTGTACAAGTGTCCAGAATGTGGTGGCACATTGATTGGCCAACAGGGTACATTCGCTTCGCCAAACTATCACACAAAATCCGGCACACCGTTTCGATATGAATGGCGTATTTCAACACAAATTCGATTGAGTATCACCGATATGGACATCTTCGAATCACTCGATTGCCAGTCGAATTATTTCGAGATTCGTGATGGATATGGACATGAATCACCGTTACTAGGCCTTTTCTGTGGCACTAACATGAACATTTCAGCGATTATATCCACCGGAAATCGCATCGTCATAAATTATTTCTCAAATGGACCGGAGAATCGGGGATTTGCTGCTAATTACGTTAGCTACTCGTCAGTTTGTAGCGGTGATTTGACCATTCACAATCGTGGCAAAATCAAATCACCAAACTATCCTAGCTATAGCGTTTGCTGTATCTGGTTACTTTAGAAACCAATGCGTGATAAAGGGTTAACACGACTTTGTTTTATAAGAAACCTCGTAGGTGAAGATGTAAATTTTTTTGGTTGTAATTGAGTTTGAAATAAAGATTTTTTAAATGAAATACCGTATTTTTAGTTTTAGAGTATTGAAGAAGAGAATGAAATTGAAAATATTAGAAAAAATTGGAAAAATGAACAGCATTTCCGAAATCGAAACAGAAAGAAATAAAAATATGAAATAACAATAAACAAACGAATAAAAACTATTTCTAACCAATTTGAATGACTCGATTTGTCACACAACGAATTGAAAACACTCGATCGAAATTCCCTGCCACTCAACATTGCCGAAAAGTTTCAAATCGTGGGCAATACATACTCAAATCATTCAAAATATATCAAGGAGTTGAACGGGTTTATTGAACCATTAAGCATCAACGTTTTTATCACTGAGACGGATTTTTAGTGGTTAACCATTGATTGAATCCACTTTTTAGTATGTTTTCGAGAAATCAAACATTTTGAAGGAAGATCACACAATCGGTAGAAAATGGGTTAAAATTTAATCTTTTTTCATTGAGCAGAAATCCCAGGTAGCCCAGAAAGCGCAGAAAGCCCAGAAATACACAATTTAATCACGAATCCAGTATCGTATATAAACTTACATCAATTCAAAATTACCGTGTCGTGAGTACCTCTTCTTTTTTTTTATCTCTAATAAGATTCATTGACTAGATAATATAGATGCGTAAATTGTTCACGCCGTAAATATAATTTCGCAATAACAGTGTCTAGTTTGGTTTGATAGCATACATGTTACAAACAGCTCATAGACGTTACCCAGCACGTTCTAATCATCAAACGATATTTTTGTATCATCAAATAATTCTTGGAAACTAATCGTTGAACGTCGAATAAAAATGATGAGACACTTCTGTTCGTAGTCATAGTGTAATCAATTGTGATTAAATGCAAACGTCTCGAAACAGTCCGACACAAACTTTGATCGCTTAAAGCAAAAGCCAAACGGTTTTTGCACAATGCAGTTCGGTAAAATCAATGTTTTAATACTGACGTGTTTGTTGGCGACAATATCCGGTAAAAATATAGTCGACGAATTACAGCAACGTTTTAACGATGTGAGAAACGAATGTATCGATGCTCAAAATGTCGTTCATCCATCATATAAGTGTTCTGGAATCATAATGCGTGGTATCAGCATTTATAATAAATCAACGAGATTTGCATGGGGCCTAAAACGGGACGATAGGGAAAAGAACTCATTCTGCTTCACCTACTTACGACGTGATCATCCATTTTCGATGGGAAGACGTTATGATGCCGGATTTATTATTTATCCACATTTGAAAACGCCACGTCAAAAATCTATACAAAAAGTGTTATGCACCTTCCCAGTCAATGCATATAGCAATATTCGTGTGGATCGTGGCTGTGGCCAACGAAGAGATGATACAACCGGAATGAGTCGACAATGTGATGCTCAGAACATTACATCATTTTGGAAATGGGTGGAATATTTCGAAAAATTAACGGACGCAAATATCGAATTTAAACATTTCCAATGCAGTTTTGATATGACGAAAGAAACGGAGGTGGAAAATTTTGCGTTAGCTCTTAAAGCAAACGCTTACCTACAGAATGTCACAGAATACGCTTTCGTCAATAGTGAACTTCGAGTTGAATGCTGGGATGAAAATAACGCCAAAACAATACCAATTGAAGCATTTTTCTATCTTATCAATTCCGAAAATGGCTACAACAACGCTGTCAAATACCGAGATGACTTTTATGCTCAATCTGGTGGTGAAAAAATACCCATTGTTGGTATCCGCTTACCCTCGGAATCAGATCCGAATATTTACATCAAAAATGTTGATTAATCGTGTGCAAATAGTCATAGAAATTTGGACAAAGTCCACAACATTTTTAATCGAATTTCATCTAAATTTATATAATCAAATGTTATATGTAATGTTGACTGTGTTTATTTTTTTGTAATTAAGATCTAGCTAATGCATGAACACAAATAAATGGAGGAGAATTGAAAGAAAAAGTAACGCTACGCACGTTATCGTATATATATATGTAGTAAAATGTCAATTCAATAGGAACGTTAACGAAATCTGACTGAATACGACTGAAATGGGTCTCTGTTTTTGTGAACTGTGTATTTGAATTTTACTTTCATTTCTTTTTTTTCGTTCAATATTTTGATAAACGAATACGCACGTCAAGATACTCTTCATTTTCATTTTTTTTCTTCGCTTAATATATAATAGTAATAATTACATACAATGATTTTTTAAAAGAATGTTCTTTTATTCGGTTTTACCAAGCCACATTTGGTCGCAATGAACAAAACAACATAACCTAACATTGAATCGACAACAACACAATACCAAACAAATCTTCATTGATATCTTTCATCTATTGAATTCATGAAATCCAGTGGAAATATTTAACCATATATTATTTTGTTGATTTAAATTTTGCGAATAATTGCGTATTTTTTTCACTGGAGGAAATCTGCCCACAAAACATAAGAATCACTTTCACGCGTCAACTATACGGCACAAATATATGTGCCCAATATTCGACACAATCGGACAAGTTCTTTGCGCTGGGCGGCGCTGAATACCTTTGACAGGCGCGTAGTGAATTTCTGATTTCTACGCGTTTCACATGTCTGGGGAAAGCGCATAACACTTTTCGTATAGATTTTTGACGTGGCGTTTTGAAATGTTGATAAACTATAAATCCGACATCATAAATTCTTTTTCCTAAGTTTGAAAATGGATGATCACGTCGTAGAATATATACGAATCATACAGGATTTGGAATTAAATTGCGTATCTCTGTTTTTTTTTGTCAACTCTTGAATTCATACTCAATTACTTTGAAACACTTTTTCTCACATTTCAAAATAACAAAAAAAAAAATCTAGGAGATTTTCGATCGTTTTTTTTCTTCATTATGTATACAAAATGGATAGTTCCTCGAATTCTTTCAAATTTGTTCAAATTGGGATTGAAGATGTAAGATAGGAAGTAAGATTGTTTTGAATTTATTGTATGTATTTTTCAATCGAATTTCGAGATTTTTGCTTTCACAGAAGTACGTTTAAAAAAATCTTTTTTTTTCGATGACAGAAAGGTTCATATCTTCACGTATACTGACAATTTATATTGTCTTTACAAACCAAAGGTATAGACAACAGTACGGAAATGGGCTTACGAATGTAATTCTTGTCACTATCGCGTTTTCTATTTTGCCCGTACTTTTTGGATGGAAAAATTATTATCAATTCCAATTCCTATACTTTCTATTAACTCTGTGTGTACTGGAAAGTGATATTTTTCAGAAAATTACATTTCGTCGTTCTACAGGATGCATGATCGTTATTATGGAGATCATTATTAGTGACTCAATAAATGATCGTCAATCAAAAATTCTAAGAAATTCGGCAATAAAGCTGTGAGTGAGGCGCTGCTCAAAGTATCCTATCATTAGCTTTGACTCAATGGCTCTTTATGTATCGATCTAATTACATGGAATTACCAGATTCCATTCGAGGAAAAACAAACGTAGCATCCACTTGCCGAGTAAATGTAGTACCTACTAAATTTTCATTTTCCTTGAATTTTCCGAACAGTCATGTTAGTATGCTCGGTCATGATGTTATTATATAAATAAAATATGCGTGAGTTTGGAATCTTATTTATCTTTATTCAATGGATTTATAACCAAAGATAGTT